TCCTTTACAGGTTAAAAACACTGATTGTCTTAAGAGTTTACAAAAGTATGTTAAATACCTACAGTACTTGCCTGGAAAACACATATAGAATGTAAAACTTCCAGACAAGTTGAGGAGAAAAAAACGTCCTCTGCAAAACCAGTGACATTCTGGGCAGAACAGAGCTTCCTACTTTGTTCCCATTTTTTCATGAAATCTCTTTAAAGTGGAAGATGTACAGACCTGTTTCTTGTAGGAGGCAGATTTTAATTCCTACTGACTAAAATCAGGGTTGGGCAGTGTCTCCTGCCAGTGCAGGTCTGTGTGAAGAGCCTCATGGGAGCAGCTGTCCTTTTCGGGCACAGTGTTGCTTGGGACAGCCAAGCACGTGGCAGTGCCACTTTCCTCGTGCCCTCCCCAACACAGGGTATTAGGCCTTTGGATATTTGGAAATCTGAAGTGACATATTTCAGTAGAGTTAAATTAAAATTTCTCATCTGAGTATGTTTTTGCATTTTTTTTTGTGATGTTTAAAATATATGGGTTATACAGGAACCTAGTTGGTTATTTTCCTGTTAGGGTACTAGGGTATTTCCTAAGTAATGGGTAGGGGATACATAAATATTTACTTTTATAGAATAAATATATTAAAATGTATATATAAATATAAATTAAGACTTTATTCACAGTGCATTGTAAGTACTTTACCAATTCCTTGTTTGACTTTCTTGTGGTGGCTTTTTTAATGAAAAAATTATTTTTAACTTTAATTTCTTTTACATTTATTTATGAATTTTGATGATTAGGTCAAGGTTAGGCAGAACTTCCATAAACTAACAAAATAACTCATGCCCCCTTTTTTTCTGATTCTATATAATTTCTTTATACATATTTGCAATCTATTTGAAATTTAACAGGGTGTGAGATCTGAGGTATAATCCCTGCCGTGTGTTACTCTAGCTGGCTTCCAAATACCCAATTACACTTATTAAATAGCCCATCTCCGCCCCTCCCATTTGAAATAGCCCCTCCTTATAGGCTGAATCCCACATGCACTGTGTTTGATCCCTGAGACTTCCTGCCTACTTTTTGTTAGCAAAACACTGTTATATTCCCGAGGCCTCAGGGTAGCTTCTAACATCTATGAGGGCTGGTTAGTCCTCATGGCTTCCTATTATCTCCAGTATAAGTTGATGATACATTTTATTATGTCTTCTAACTTTTTTCTTTTTCATATACAGGAGAACTTTTGTTTCCTGTAGAGGAATTTTGTACCCAGCCATCTTTCTGAGCTGTCTTTCAATGTGCTGATTGTCAGCTGATTCTCTAGGGTTTCCAGGTGGTCTATCACACCACCTGCCAATCTCTCCTAATCCCACCCTTTCAATCTTCCAGCCTCACCATCCACTGGAACCACACCTGTCACCATCAGCAATGACTCTATACTGAGTATTTTAAGGTCAATTATTAGACCTCATCCCACTCAGTGTCTTAAGGAGGATTGAGATTACTGTTCACTCCCATCTGCTAGAATCAGTCTCTCAGTTCAGGCTCAGGACACTGTGCTCTCCTCATTACCCCTCCTTCAGGACCTGCTTCTTACTACTGAGTTAGCTGGGTCCTCTCTTCTTTCAGGGATCTGGAAAGTGTAGGCCCTAATGCTGAGTCTTCAAAGACTTCTCCATCAAAATTTGCTCCTAGGGTGAGCTCACCCAGCTCCTCTGAAATGGCTGAGCATAGTCCTGTGTGTTATTCATCACTGCATCTTCCCTGCCTGGAACAGTGCCTGGCACAGCATAGGCCCACAGTGGTACTGGGTCAATGCAGAAATGAGTGAATGAGTCTTTCTGGCTATTTTAAATGCTTCATAGTTAAGTTTTCCAAAGGAAATCACAAGGAACTGAACTTGGGTTCAGCATGGACGCATGAAAGGAAGTCAGAACATAAGACAAAAATACTTGTTGTCCTTAGATTATCTGCAATAATCTAGCTCAAAAATATCTTCAGTAGAGAGAAAAAGGTGACAGATGGTATGTGCAGTGTGCTAAATTTCTTATCCTTTATGAAGGAACTCAATAAACTCTGTTGTTAACATTCATAAATCAAACTAGTAATATAGTTATATTATGCAAAGCTATAATATAACTGATAAAAGAGCTAAAAATCGAAACTGCAAACATCAGTTGCTATTGGGGAATAAGATGAAAAGAAACTACATTTCACTTTATACACTTTGGTGTGCTCTGCAATAAAACGAATGTGCATGCCTTACTTCTGTGAGCAAATGTAAAGAGATATGGTGAGCCAGGCCATGGAGGGCCCTGAATGCCAAGCACAGTGTTCTTTAGCTGTGGAATCTCACATTGCCTGGTGGGTGGGCTTCCTGCACAGGCTCACAGTGGGCAGTGAAAGGCTCCAGGTCAGCCACTCCTCACAGGGAGGAGGTTCACATGGGAAAAGATAGGGAGAGGCTGTGATAAGTGGTTGGAGTCCGGGCCAACGAGAAATGTCTCGTGAGGTCCTTGTCTCACACATCTCCAGAATCTCATTTGTCAGTGCCCCCTGCACAGGAAATCACAGGGGCTGTCCAGCATCGTGATAAGCCTCTTGTAGTCACCAGGTTTCACTCCTGCTCCTGCAGGCACCTCCTATCCAGAGGGTAGAACAGCATTCTCTGCTGTTTGTCTCTCCCAAGAGAGCGCTTCCTTTTCTACTCACCACCCCCAACGAGAAGATGGCGCTAAGGTAAGAGTTGGCTCACAGCTGTCTTCTCTCAAAGGCAGTGTTGTTTTCTCACTCTTCATCCACAGGCTATGATTTCATCTTGGGGAGGGGCAGGCAGGGAGCCATGGGCCCCATCAGTGACAGTCAGCAACATGAAGCTCCCTCAGGAAAGCTTTGGGGGATGGGAGCTTAGACTGTGGGATGTCCACATGGGGCCATCCAGGTTCTTTCTGCTTTTGTTCTATCTCCCTAGTTTTCCCTTTCTCTCCAAACATTCAAATCTGCAATTACAGAGAGAAATGGTTTCCTAATTTCAATTTAGGAACAGGATGGCAAGTAGACCTTGCTTTGCAAGGCTAACTTGTTAATAACCTCACTTTTCACAGATGAGCTCGCATTTTAACGGACTTGCTTGTTTGTTTGTTTGTTTGTTTGTTTGTTTGTTTGTTGTATTTTGCTATCTGGCTTGTCCCAGTAGAAAACACACAGCACAATCTAATGGGGTAATTGAGGAGAGTTTAATAAAGGGACTGTGTACAAAGACGTAGGTAGACCTAAGGGAAATCTATAAAGGATACAGGCGCTCCAAAAACTACTCATAATAGGGAGCTGTTACCATTGTGTGTCCTGATGGGGAGAGGGAAGGAGAAGTTACCAGAACTCAGGGAGGCTGGTGGGTGTAGCTGTAGTTGTCACTGTGACTGTAGAAAGGCCACCACACAGGTCTAAGTCCTTAGTTAGAGCAACAAAGCCACTGCCAAGTCACAGCCTGGCAGCAGAGAGCAGGGAGTTGAAAGCCCTAAATCACTCCCCTCCTGCTCTCCAGCCACCTACCAGTGTCTCCTTTTCATTGAAAGGAAGCAAGAGCCAGAGGGAACGGGAGCCCACCCATGAGACACAGAGACGTCTCCTCCCCAGACACAGAACAGAGCACAGAAAATCGAAATGACACTTGATGTCATAGGAAGAAATCCATGTCTTCTTATAACCTCTTCACAGTTGCTTTTCCTGGGATTTTCTCTCATCGGATCTCCTTAGTTTGTTGCTTTGACTTGTTTTCCCTCCCAATCTGATGTTACTTTTTTGTAATAATATCTCACTATCATTATAAATATCTATGAAAGGAATGTAGATTTTTTTTAAATGTGGGGGTACACAGGTATTCATAAATATTTTAAGTTTATAATTTTGGATGTTCTAGGGAGAAACCCATTATAAGAGTTTCTTAAACCTAGTCCCACACAGAGCTAGACACTGGGCAGACCGATGGACAGGACACGCCTCTGGTTCCTGGTTCCTCTCAGTGGAAAGAAGACACTGGTGGGGACTGGAGTGCAGGAGGGTGATTCAGGGTTTTCAATTCCCTGGCTCTCTGCTGCCACATAAAGCTGACACACTGGGCCATTTCTAATCTGAGAGTCCTGGTCACCAATAAAACAAAGAGGTCACATTCTCTCAATGACCCTAATTATGATCTCCTTTCTGGTGGATGGACACTCTCAGTCACTGAGGTAGCCCATAGATCATGCCTTCAGCTCCTACTTCCTGTCCTCAAAGGAAATCTCAGTCCCAGGGCAGAAGGAATGCTGAGCTCAGTCCTGCTGTCATCCCACGTACCCTGTCCAGATTTGTCTCATTTGCTACAGGAGATGTGTCATGACTAAGGTCTATTCAGAGACGTGTTTGGACCATAGAATAGTCCCGTGTCTGTACAGGGTCTGTGTTGCAGTAGAGAGAGCCCAAGATTTAAGCTCAGAGAGAACTGGGTCCAGGATCCAGGATCCAGGACACCAAGGCTGTGTGGCCTTCAGGAAGTATGTTATTCTCTTCAAGGCTCCATGTCCCTCCTCTGTGACACAGGGACAGTAATTCTTTTGTCAGGGTGGCCGTGAGAGTCAGAGATCATACAGCAGGTGCTCAAGTCTTGTTTCTGTTCTAGTGGCACCAGTGGAGGGTTTCTCAGCATGAATGCAACAGTTGCAGCCTGGGGGACTACATTTCCGCCAATGAATGAAAGTGAGCAGGCTATTGTTCAAAATTACAACGTGGGAAAACTGATCTCAGCGTTGCTGATAATCATCATTGCCCTGGTTGGACTGGCAGGAAACGCGGTGGTGCTGTGGCTCCTGGGCTTCCGCATGCGGAGGAACGCCTTCTCTGTCTACATCCTCAACCTGGCAGGAGCCGACTTCCTCTTCCTCTGCTGCCAGATTTTACGTTCCCTGGACATACTCATCAAATACTTCCATCCTGTCTCCATTTCCATTCGCAGGCTTTCCATCCCAGTGTTCATCGTTGCCTACATCACAGGCCTGAGCTTTCTCAGCACCATTAGCACCGAGCGCTGCCTGTCTGTTCTGTGGCCCATCTGGTACCGCTGCCACCATCCCAGACACATGTCGGCTGCCATGTGTGCCCTGCTCTGGGCCCTGTCCCTGCTGCTGAGCATCCTGGGAAGGACCTACTGTGGCTTCCTGTTTAGCAATTTATATCAGGACCAGTGTCCAGTGTTTAGTTTCATCACTGCTGGGTGGCTGGTTTTCATATTTGTACTTCTCTCAGGGTCCAGCTTGGCCCTGGTGAGCAGACTGCTGTGTGGCTCTCAGCGGGTGCAGCTGACCAGGCTGTATGTGACCATCCTGCTCACAGTGCTGGTCTTCCTCCTCTGCGGCATGCTTTTAGGCATCCTCGGATTCCTCAGATACTGGTTTGACATTCGTTTAGATGAGTCCTCCTTTCATATTTACCAGGTTTCACATGTCTTGTCCTGTGTCAACAGCTGTGCCAACCCTTTTATTTATTTCTTCGTTGGCTCTGTCAGGCAGCAATGGAGGAAGCAAAGGCAGACCCTGAAGCTGGTTCTCCAGAGAGCTCTGCAGGACCTTTCTCAGGGGGATGAACATGGAGGAAGCCTTCCTCAGGAAGCCCTGGAGATGCCCGAAGCAGTCTGGCGTCCTGATTCAGAGTCTTGCTTTATTCAGACACATGGGGTTTAGAGAACCAACTTTGTCCCTATCAGTTTGGGAGGATTCTTAAGTCTCTCAGCCCCTGTGTCTCTGAATTAAAACAATTAACATAATAATTCTACTAATCAGGATTAAGAGAGACTGTGCCTGTTAAACACACAGTGGGTGCCATATCATATAGATTATTTTCTCTGCTCCCCAAAATGAATTGACTACCTCGGTATAGTTTTTTTTCCTTTTTTTCCTTTTTTTTTTTTTTTGCATTTATTCTGCTTCATGTTATTTGAGCTACCTGGATCTGTGGTTTGGTTCCTGTCAATATTTGGAAAATTCTCAGTAGTTATTAGTTCAGTTGTTTCTTCTCTTTCTTTCTCTCCTCCTCCTCTGTCTATGACATACCCTCTACATGTATGTTACACCTTTTGTAATCATCCCACAGCTTTTGAGCATTCTGCTTCTGTTTTTTCGGTATTGTTTTCTTTTGAGTTAGGAAGTTTCTGTTAATACAGATGGTGCCAAGAAAACATATACACATTTTAGGAAAGGAAAAAACTCTTAAAATTGTAATACTCAATACATACCAATAACAAAAGATGAATCCAAGTCACATTTAACTTCTGCAATTACAAGAGGTGGTCAAAGTGGTTACCATCAGTGTCCAAACACTTCTGATTATGGCAAACTACTGCTTGAGCATACATAACATCTCTTAAACTGTGTATACATTTTTTTGGCACCCCTGGTATATCTTACAGTTCAATGATTTGACAAAGGCCATATGTAGTTTACCAGTGAATTCAGGACAGCATTCTTTAGTTCTGCTGCCATATTTTTATTTCTGGAATTACCACTTTCTTAGAGTATCCATCTTTCTGCTTATATTGTCCATCTGCTCTTGCATATAGCCCATGTTTTCTATTATAATCCTTAGCACATTAATCACAATTATATAAATTACCACTTTGATCATTCCAAATTCTTGGATATATCCTAAGGTCTTTATATCTTCCATGTGAAGTCAATGATCCTGTTATTAATAGTGAAAAAATATTAAATATAAGCTTATTATTCAAACCTATAATCATAACTATTAAAAGAGCTCAGAAGAAAAACTGAAACAGGGCTGGCCGAGTGGCGCATTGGTTAAAAGTTGGCTTGGGACACCAGCTCTGAGCAGCAGGGCCTCAGTTTGGATCCCACATGAGGGCCAGTGATGCTGCGCCCTCTACAGCTAAGATGGTAAACAACAGCTCAACCTGGAGCTGGGCTGCTGGGAGTCGCTGGCATTGGTGTAGGCTACAGTGGGGCTGGCCGGCAGCTGGCATGCTCTTTTGTGAGATGCCGTGAGATGCCATGAGCCACCATGAGCAGCCATCCAATGGCTAGTGAGTGAATGCCTCACCCGGGAAGAGCACAATGATCACAACACCAACATGGGCCAGTGAAGCGATGTCCTCCACAACTAGACTGAAGAACAAAAGGACAGCAACTTGTTTGTTCCCTTCCCCAATTCCCCAACACTGTTCCTCTCCCCCAATACCCCAATAAAATCTTTAAAAACAGACAAACAAACAAAAAAACTGAAACAATTATTGCTTCTGGAGAATAAGATTCAGGAAGATTTTGACCATTTGTTTGTCACACATCTGTGTCAATTGGAAAGAAAATGTATACTTGCTCTATTACTACTATGACAAAGTAAAAGGGTGGAGGAAGAGGTGGGTCTAAAATGGCAGCATGTAAAGATCCTGAATTTAATTCTTCTGAGGGACACAGTGAATATACTGCTCCACATAGAGCAGTTCCTCCTGAAGAAGTGAAGGCTGATTGAACAGATTCTGCACAACAAATGATAGAGGGACCACATAGAGAGGGTAGAAGAGACAGAGACATGGTAAAGAGGGAAGCCCCACACCAAACATGAAGACCTGCCGTAGTGGGGACTAAAAGTGGGGCCCATGTGCAGTCTTGCTTTCCCAGGGGTTCATTGAAACAACATCAGTGTATAGGGCACTGAGCCTATGTAATAAAATTCATTTAGTAACCCCAAAGAACCTGCTAAGTGGGTTGGGAGCTGCTGGAATGTTCCAGGATCTAAGACGTTAGAGTGCGCCATTATTTATGTTCCCCTCCACTTAGATAAAGTGGTTGGGAGCTCAGTCCAAACATTGTGGTCAACCTGTAAGACCACCCCAGCGTGCCGCATGCCCGTCCCTCACTACCTCCAGCTCCAACTAACCATGCTGCCATGGCTACCTCAAAGCCACCGCCCCAGAATCTATCAGCCTGTGCCACACCCAGTTTAAACTCTGCCCCTCCAGAGGACACCTGAAGCCACCTTTTCCTACATTTACTCCAGTTCCTGTTAACTGGCAGACTTGCCACCCTGCCAGGATTGTCCCAGAGCCCCACACCATAAGCCACCTCATTCCATACCCACTTCAGCTCCAGCTAACCATCCCACGAGGCCAACCCAGAGCTGCATCCCTTGGGACAACTGCCCCCCTGCCCACGCAGCTCCTGCTAGCTGGCAAAAGCCATAGGCACACAACTCTACTGAAAGCATGTTCCTACAAAACAAAACAAAAAACACTCTTTGAAGACCAAGAGAAGCAGCTGTTTATAGAAACAAACACTTAAATTCAAACAAAACGGGGAGACAGAGGCATACATCCTTAATGAAAAAAAAAGAAAAAAACCAAAAGGACAAAACCTCAGAAAAAAATCCTAATGAAACAAAATGAGTAATTTACCTGACAAAGAATTCAAAGTAATGATCATAAAAATGCTCACCAAACTCAGGAAAAGAACAGAGAAACACAGTGAGAACTTCAAGAAAGAAATAGAAAATGTAAGAACCAATAAGACCTGAAGAATACAATAATTGTAATTTAAAAATGCACTACAGGGAATTAACAGCAGATTAGAGGATACAGAAAGTGGATAAGTGATCTGGAAGACAAAATAGTGGAAATCACCCACTCAGAACAGCAAAGAGATTTTTAAAATGAGGATAGTTTAAGGGAACTCTGGGACACCATCAAGCACACTATCACTCACATTATAGGGGTTCCAGAAGAAAAAGAGAGAGAAGAAGGGTCAGAAAACATATTTGAAGAAGTAATGGCTAAAAACTTTTCTAACCTCAGGAAGAAAACAAACATCCAGGTCCAGAAAGCACAGAGAGTTACAAACAAGAAGAGCACAAAGAGATGCACACCAAGACAAATTGCAATTAAAATGGAAAAAAAGTTGAAAATAAAGCAGAAAACTTCACGGCAGCAAGAGAAAAACAACTAGACACATAGAAGGGAAACCCCATAAGGCAATGAGCTGATATCTCAGCAGAAACTTTGCAAGCGAGAAGGGAGTGGAAGGGTATATTTAGAGCTGAGGGGAAAGAACTTAGAACCTACAATACTCCTTCCAACAAGATTATCACTCAGAATTGAAGGAGAGATAGTTTTCCAGATAAGCAAAAATTAAAGGAGTTCATTACCATTAAACTGGCTTTACAAGAAATGTTAAGGCTGTCTCTGGTAAATGGAAAAGAAAAGGTCATAACCAGAAAAAATAAAATAGGCAAAAGAAAAAAATCTCACTGGTTAATAAATAGTAAAGGCAGTAAGTAGATCAACCACCAAAAAAGTTAGTATGAAGGTTAAAAAGAAAAGTAAAATAAAAGTCAACTATAAGTACAATAACTAATAAAGAACACACAAAACAAAAATATCTAAACTATGACATCAAAAACATAAAATGAGGGGAGGAAAAAAATGTAGCAGTTTTAGAATGTATTGGAACTTAAATGCCTGTCCACTTAACAATAGACTGATATACGAGGGTTGACTAAAAAATTTACACAAGTGGACACTTTGGTCGACGTTACTCAAATGTAGTTCGCCATAATCAGAAGTGTCTGGATGCTGATATCAACCACTTTGAGCACTTGTAATTGGAGAAGTCAAACGTGACTTGTATTCATCTTTTGTTTTTGGTATATATTGAGTTTTATATATTTTTTTTAAATTAAAGTTTATTGGGGCAACAATTGTTATTAAAGTTACATAGATTGCAGGTATACAATTCTGTAATACATCATCTATATATCACATTGTGTGTTCCCACCCAGAGTCAGTTCTTCTTCCAACACCATATATTGGATCCCCTTTACCCTCATCTACCGCCCCCCACCCCTCTTACCCTCTGGTAATCACGAAACTATTGTCTATGTCTATGAGTTTTTGTTTCTTCATTTGTTTGTCTTGTTCTTTTATTGTTTTCAGTTTGATACACCACATATCAGTGAAATCACATGGTTCTCTACTTTTTCTGTCTGACTTATTTCGCTCAGCATAATAATCTCAAGATCCATCATATTGTCGCAAATGGCACTATTTCATCTTTTCTTATGGCCGAATAGTATTCTATTGTGTACATATACCACAACTTCCTTGTCCAATCATCTATGGAAGGACACTTTGGTTGTGTCCATGTCTCACCCACTGTAAATAAAGCTGCAATGCACATTGGAGCACATATCTTTATGGATAAATGTTTTCAGATTTTGGGGGTAAATATCCAGGAGAGGGATTGCTGGGTCATATGGTAATTCTACTCTTAATTTTTAAAGGAACCTCCACACTGCCTTCTATAGCGGTGGCACCAATCTGCATTCCCACCAACAGTGTATGAAGGTTCCTTTTTCTCCACAGCCTCTGCAACACTTGTTATTATTTATCTTGTTGATGATGGCCATTCTAACTGTTGTGAGGTGATATCTTATTGTGGTTTTTATTTGCATTTCTCTGATGATTAGTGATGTTGAACATTTTTTCATATGTCTATCATCCATTTGTATGTCTTCTTTGGAGAAATGTCTAGTCAGGTCCCCTGACCATTTTTTAATTGGATTGTTTGTTTGTTGTTGTTGTTGTTGTTGTTTTGTATTAATTTCTTATATATTCTGTATATTAGCCCCTTATCAGAGGAGTTGCTTGCAAAAATCTTCTCCTATTTGGTTGGTTGCC